GGGGGGGGGGGGGGGGTTGTTAGCTGCGGGATGAAAGCTGTACAAGAACGTAGGGTCGCGCGGAGGTTCTCGTTGGCGGAGTATTAATCCTGTCGTAAAGGGGGGGGGGTCGAGGGGCGGAGGAAGGGGACTTTCCGAAGATTGGTTTTCCTTAATTTACCTCTCCCTCGATTCGTCACTTATTATTCTCTCTGTGTGTGTGTGTGTGTGTGTGTGTGTTTTTTTTTTGCTAACCATTGTTGCTCGTAGAGAAGACCCGACCTGGTCGCTACCTCTCGAATCGTCGGGACAGCGGGAGCCACGCGCGAAACGAGAGGGCTCACACATGCGTTTTTTCGTGTGTGTGTGTGTGTGTGTGTGTGTGAATGCACGTGTGCACGTGTTTTTTGATTGATTTGTTACCGGTGGTTCAGCGTACTTGGTCCGTAAACTAGTTGGTCGTACTTTGAAGTTCCGGCATATCCAGGTTCGTGATATTTTGGTACTGACGTTTGATTGGAGCACCGACGACCGATCTTCCGATATGTAACGTGTGATTTCATCGTTAATTTCCGCGCGCCTATATTTATTCACCCGGGAAGCCGAGAAACGTCCGAAAGCTGTTGAACATCGGTCGGAACATTTCTCGTCACCTCGGCGATGTCATTTTTTAGACGCGCGCTACGTGTCTCTTCGACCCGATGAAATCGCGTGGTAAAATTACGATAGGATCGCATTGACCGAATGGGACTAATTCGGTTGAAATTCTGGTCGCGAATATTCGTATCGGCGCTCGTCGTCGGTGAAAAAGAGTTTCGACGGCGTGGCTCTAACTGTCGATCAGGCCGGGTCCGGCGATAGTATGTAGAAAAGAACACGATATATAAACAACTAAAGCGCCAAAACTACGAGTACCATCGGTGCTAGCTGCGTAGTACCAGCGCCATTTACCTAATCGCTACTAGTCGAAAAGTCTAGGCTGAGTCAGTGCAGGCGGACGTTCTCGCCTCCGATCGGCATCGGCGAGAATGAGATCTGCGACTGTCGAGGAAGTGCGTCACAAATTTTGGTTCATGTCCGGGATAACCAATCTTTGCTCCCCATGATCATACATACGGAGAGTTCTCTTGAAATAGAAAGGAATATCGACAACAAGTTCAGATTGACATGAGAGAGAGAGAGAGAGCGGTGATAGCAGAGTCAGAAATCGTCGAAAAAACACGATTTGGCTCTACGTTCGAACGATCGCCCGTTAATTTCAACCGAACAAAGATGAACCGAGCGCCGGCGGAATAGAAAATCTCGTTCATTTCCAAGAGTCGCGCTCGGGGATACTCTCGACAGTCGCAATACGAGGAGCTTTCGCGAGCCATCGGAGACGATACTACCCTCAGCACCAGTTTCCCCATGTTGCCATTCTCAAATCTTCCGTTCGTTCGTATATCTATCTACCTTATCTACGATACATGTTTGTCGTCCGACGTCGAGACGACGGGCGTCGATTCGCCCAGTTGAACACAATTCGGTCGGTTCCTTTTCTTCTCCCTCTCTCTCTCTCTCTTCTTTCTTTTTCCTTGATTTCGCCTCGCAATCTCCGCGCGTGCGGTCGATCAACGTATACGATGCCGCTCGCTCGCGAGCCTTTTACGTCTTTAGAGTCATTGCATGACTAGAGCCTACGGATTACGAGCTTATTAAAGCCGATCAGGAAGGTACCGAGTTCTCGACCCACGGGGGAGACCTCCTCGATTTACTACATTGGTTCAGGCGCGAACGGATTGCCGCGCGGATCTCCCTTCGTTTAGTTACTTTTTCTGCGTGTCGAATTTCTCTCCCGTGTTTTCGTCGCGAATAATTAAGGATGAATCGTGCCTGATCGATAAAAGAAAGCTTTCAATTCCGGCAAAGATATTTTTTTCAGCAAGCTCTTGCTTTCAAAGTGACGATCGAACGGACCGGGCGACGAACCCCCGGTGAAATTCACGGTTAGGTCGATATCAGCAACGAGGAATCCCCTCGTAACATATATCGAAACGGGGATTAAGCGCGAAATGATGTCGTTATATTGCCGCTTGATACGCACGATCGTCTCGCCGAATAGAAAAGTAAGATCCGCGCGTACGAGGGAAGACCTTTTTTTTCCGTCGAATCGACGTCGGCCGCTTGTGTGTGTTTACGTATACGCGCGAGCGGTGTATCAATTGACGAGTGTGTGTGTGTGTGTGTGTAAATGAATGTGTGAATCCCTATATGAACGACAGGCCAGCTCTTCGTTGATCACGAAAATCCCAACATTCGAGAATGCGTGAATTGAAAATAGAATTTAAAAAACGGTAAACTAGCACGTAACAGTTCGCTTTTTACTCCATTTTTCCTCAAACTTGTGTCTGCCTCGCGTGTATGTGTGTGTGTGTGTGTGTGTGCGCGATGCAGTCGCGCTCGTCGTCATCACCGCGTGTGTACGTAGCGTGTCCGCCAAGTGTGTACCTAATTGCACTTATTCGAAAAAACGGAACGTAAGGTTGAACGCAAGATGGCGGCCGGACGGCCCTGGAACGTATGTGTAGGTAATATACACACCCTTTCGTTTAATTTACTTTAATAAGAAATACACCGCTTTCGTCGCCCCGCTCAACAAGCGCGCTCCCGAACTGAATCTGTTTGCTGCTACGGTACTCTCTCGTCTATTTTTCGTTCGTGCTACTGCGAGTCGATAAAAACGTAATCTCATAACTTAGGCACAATTTGGAACTGTTTAGACCATTTTTCACACGACCTCGGTCTGCTGACGTTCGTGTGTCCGTCGACCGCGAACGCGAGACCGACAGAGTATAACGCGAAGGAGATCGATTTTCATCTCCCGAGTGGAGATGACACGTCTCTCACCAATTTCCCTTTACGTTTTCTTTCTTTCCTTTGAGCGAATTAATACACAATTGTCAGGAGTTAAATATTCAAATCGAGCGACCGTATCACGGCGCGTTCTCTTGAAAAATTCAATATATCCCGTCGAAAATATCGATATATTTGGCGCGCAAGTAAAATTTCATCGCGCCGTTCACGTTCGCGACACACAAACGTCTCTCGCTCGAACCATACCAAACGTGACGATATTGTGAGGTAGCTGACATTGAGCCGTTTCAGGGCCAATCGGACCAAATCTTCCCCTTTCGTTTTCCACCAGCCGAGTCACGTCCGCTCGCTCGTTGAAAAGAAACGGAGGAAAATCGTCGAGGTCTTTACGTGACGGAGCCCGTGAAAAAAGACGAGGAAGCGAACGATCGTCCGTCGATGAAAGCGCCGGGGAAGAATCTTTGGGCCCGACTTTTCCGAGCGATGTCCGCCATCTTGGTCCCGTCTGACCACCGGTGTGGATCAACGTAATTTCACGCTTCTTCCGTCTCCCTTTCTTCCTCTATCTATCTATCTATCTATCTATCTATCTACCTATCTCTCTTTCATGCTCTCTTTCCCTCCCTGTCTTTTGCACGCTCGCTTTGTCCCCTTGGCTCTCAGCAGTTTGCTCTCTCCCTTACTCGTCTTACTTTGTCTTCGCACACCGTAATTACAATAGTCTTTTATATGTATATATATATATATA